AAACTGGCTGTAGGGAGCTGGCTCTTGCCCTGTGACCACTGAGATAGGCTCCACCCCCCGCACCGGGACCCTGAACTGAATGGTCGCTATCCTGTCATGGCATATTTTGGGACCCTGAACTGAGCCTGTTTGTTCACTCATGTGCAAAATCAAAATGTTTGTTATACAAAAAGTTTATTGGCTGCAGGTGAAAAAGAGAAAGCAATATCCTGCATGCAAATAATAGCATGAGAAGTGGTTGTCAGGTATTTGATATTATTTCAACAACACTCAGCTGCTGGATTTGGTGCTGACTTTTTATTCTCCGTAACAGTGCAATTCAAAGTGTTTCAATAACCTCTTAACGACTAAAGGGCAACTAATTTAAATAAACTGACTACATTCTAAGGAAATCACCCAGTTCGCATAATACTGGTCTTATTAAAACAGCTGGATTCCAGTTTCTTTGCACAAAATTAACCTTTTCCTGCTATAAATCCCTTTCTGCTGCAGCACTCTCCGACCTTAAGTTACCTCACATAAAAAAGACTTTTCTAAACACTGTGAAGCAGAGAATTTAAACTTTACTGCCCAAACAGACACCTACACATGGAAGTAATAAAAAAAGTGAAAAATAGAAAAGCTAAAAATCCATAAATTCATCTGAAAGCTCTAATCTTGCTGTCTGAAGTGAAGGCGCAATAGAAAGGGAGTCTGAGTGAGATGTTACATCACCTCATTATTTCTGTGCCAGAGTCAGTGACTGTGAAACACCTGGACAACCATCTATAGCAGTTTGCCATTTAGAAAATAAATAGCAACAACAGGAAGAGGAACGGAAAGGGGAGAGGTGCATAATGTAGATGCAAATCCTGATCTTTGCCTCTCAAATTATCAGATGTCACTCTTCACGACTTGTAAATAAACACACAATAAATATGCCCCACGTTCCGTGCCAGCATACACTCGCGTCTTAAAATACCGCAGCTCTGACGACTGAGATAGTACTGCTCATCAGATTTATGCGTGAGCAAACCCAGTCTAAATTTGCACCCAGTGAGCCAACTTACGCAAGCCTCCCTGGTCTCCCTCCTGTCTATACAATGGCTTAAAAATCTCACAGTTCTCAAAGCATCCCTGCTCTCCCCAGATCCCCACCCCCACACTATACACTACAACTTCGGCACTATTCTTGTACCAGCCCCCGTCGTTGTGGCACAAAAATACCAGCACCTCCAAGAACAGACGCCAAGCCTGTCAGAGCATCATCACATCCCACAGGACAGCTGAGGGGGGAGAGGAGGGAGGATGGCGTGAAGAAAAGAGGGGAGGAGAGCAGGTGGAAGGATGAGCACAGCTGCTGTCGAGAGAGAAGAATCAACAGAGAAAATACAGACTTTATACGAGGAAGAGGACACAGTTTACGGTTTTATCCTGGCAGATCAGCCGCAAACTGTTTCTCTTTATCTTGATATGAAGGCTCCCGCCTGAGCTGCTGCTCTTCTCGGGAAGTGTGGGCTGTGGTGCCACAATATTTACAAGGATCATTAGAGATACCAAATCAATCAGAATAACTTCTAAAAAGGTTAGTGCTCATTACCTTTTTAAGGCCTTTGGGGATTTGTTAAAGTTTTAACGGTTATCTCAGTTCTGCCTCGTGGGTGTCTCAGGGAAATAAAAATGTCTGTAAAGCTGTAATTATTGAAGAATGAACAGAAATGTACTTGTAGTGCTGTGCAAAAGTCTTGAGCCAGCCCTCATTTCTTTGTAGTTTGTTTTGGAAAATGGAAAATAGGTGCAGCGATTCATTAAAACATGTAAACCAACGTGCTAATACAGTATATAAGTGAACTCTCTTAGGCAGGCTTTCCTGTAAATTCTTTAAGTAGTCTTCAGGAATAGTTCTCCAGACTTTCAAAGCTCCTCTTTGGATATTGGCTTTTTTCTTTTTGCTCTGTTCTCTGTCAAGATGATCCCACAATGCTACAATAATATCGAGGTCGGGGCTCTGGGGAGGCCAATCCATGACTGATAGTGTTTCATTCTGTGTTCTTCTATCCAGGTCTGCTTTTACTACCTTGGCCTGTGTGTTTGGGTTCATTGTCAAGCTGAAAAATGAAGGGATTGCCCATCAGATGCTTTCCACATGTTACTGCATGGTGGTTCAAAATATGACCATAATTTTCTGTGTTTATAATTCCATCAGTTTTGTTGAGATCTTTAACAGCACTATCTTAAATGCAGCTCCAAACCATGACACAGTCTCCACCGTGTTTTAGACATGGCTGTGTGCTCTGACTGTTGTACCTCTCTCTTGACCTTCTCAGTATATACTGATGGCAACATGAACCAAAAATCACTCCATCAAACCCGCTGCCACTGATTTTCCGTCCAATTCTTGTATAATGTGGCATACTTCGACCTTTTCTCCCCGTTTTCCTGTCTTAAGAATAGTTTCTTTGACAGCCACCCTTCCACTGAGACCATTTCTGATGAGGCTTCAGTTATCAGAAAGTGGTCCTGGGTCAGGTCTTTGCTTGGTTTTTCCCCTCTAGCGCTTAAAGACGTGACCTTCGGTTACTATTCATCTCATGAATATAGTTTTATAGGTCCGAGACTTCTTCTGTGCTCCGCTTGCCGGGTTTCCTCAGATTTTTTTAAGGCTACACTGAACAGGATGTCGACATGCTGAAAATGTGGGATCGGATATCTGGGGAAGAATTGCCATATAAAGATATGATGACTGTTTTTCCACTGACGAATATATCTGGATATAACATGTATTTTTAGTTATTTTACTTAAATTATTTACTATTTTATGAATTATTTTTTCTCTATTCTTTCTAATTTTATCTGCTGTCTTCTAATTATGAACTGAAGCAATAAATGTAATAAACTTTAATCAGTAAAAACAAATCATGGTCCCCAGATAATGGATCCCCATCACTTGTGTGTAGCCTCCTGACTTTTCTTCTCACACCACCATGAAATTCACATTTGCAGTTTTGAGTAAAATGGCTCAGATATTTCATTATCGTGAACTTTGGTGCACACATTCATGATCCCTGTGTTATCAGCTGGCTCAAAGTTCACGGAGGTAAATTCATTTGATTCAGTTAAACTGATAGGAAATACACAGTGATCAAATCTTTAAAAGAGAAACGTTTAGCCCCAAACCACACCTAAAAGTATATGCTTATCGGCTGTACACAACAGCTAATATTAGCTAACTAAGCCTTTTAAACAATTAACCGAGTGCCTACAGGTGTGCTCCTCCACCTGTTACACAAAGAAAGGAAGAGGTCTGCGACCCTAGACTTTATTGAGGCTCAGTTCAATATGAGAGTAAAGTGGTCCTTTAGTAAATATCACAAATCCTGGATGAGAGTTAAGAGGAAATTTGTCATGAAGTGTGAAGTGAGGAGGACCCGAATGCAGGACTCAGGCAGACAAAATAACAGGAAGCAAGACTTTTACTCGGCTGAAGGCAAAATCTGAAAATCTAACAGCACACGAGGGGAGCCAGACAGACGCTAAGACAGAGACTGCCGGGGACGGAGTTGGGATTAATCACAAGAGGGGAAAGTGACTAAGAACAGGTGAAAACAATCAAGGCAGTCAGACACACAGGAAGTCAAAACTGCAACAAGACACCAGAGAAAACTATCAAAGTTTAACAGGAAACAAAATGGACACGAAAACTCAAATATAAGACGATACAAAGAAAAATTGAGGTGGTACGAATAACCAAAGATGGAAACCAATATGATATAATAAAAATGAATTAATCACATGAAGAATAATCTGAAAGCAGGAAGCCAAAGCTTTCATACGCAAAACAGTAAACGCAAATAATAGAAAATAAGAATCCAAACCTCAAAAAAATAACCATTCCCAGGTACATGCAGTGCTGCTGAAGGACTCAGTAACCATCAGCTTCTGCCTGATTCATTCTTTACAAACTAAATGAAGTTTTTCTCTCACTTTTCTGCGAAACATCAGCATGACACATCGTCTTTCTGTTAGCACAATGTCGTTTTGCACCATTGTGCCTCACTGCAGGCTCCAGAAGCTGCAAACCTGGCTGCACGCTCTCAGTTTTGTTTCTTGTTGCTTGTTTTATAAACCCTCTCCAGGATAAAAACACTCAGATAAGAGGAAGCCACACGGTTTGAAAGCAGGAAAATAAATAAATAACTATATAAAGTAGGTGTTGGTGAAGAAGAGGCCGTACACAGAGAGCAATCGTAAGAACCACTCTCTATGGGTCCTTCCTGTCTGCCTCTCTCCTCTCCCTTGCTTTTGTCGCCTCCTCTCTCTATCACAATGTAAATGGACGGTTGCCGAGGGCAACCTGTGTGTACTCACCTAAGGATGAACAGGAGGTGGTGTGTGAGTAAAGGGGCTATTAATAGCAGCATGTGTAGAAAGGACATTTGCTCGCTTGCATGCGCATGAGTGTGTGCGCACCTGTGTGTGTGTTTGAGAGAGAGAGAGTGAGAGCAGCCAGCATGTACCAGCAGGAGGAGGAGGATGCAGATTGTGAGACTCAGACACTTACTAGAGAGAACAGGAGGGTGGAGAAAGGGTGAGGGATGGATGGAGGGAGTAAGGGAACGTAGTGGAGGAGGGGGCGAATGTGTGTTGACGCTGTACGTGGCGTCAGTGTGATAAGAATAGAGATGGTGCGTGTAGCTGAGACATCACCCTCACACCCTCGGTGGGGCAGGCAGTACTCGCTCTGAATGTGTGTGTGTGTTAATAAGTGCATATATCTCAGGGTACGCTTGTGTGTGAGTGGATGAGTAAGGTGTTGGGGTTGAAGTGTGTTTTTCTTTTCACCATGTGGGTAATTGAAGTCATCTGTACCATTTAATTCAATTGTAAGAATTAGAAACATATTTTCTTTTGCCATTTCAAAATCATTTTGACACTTTTATGTTCTGAAAGAGGGAAGTGAGAGCTTTTTAAAACATTTTTTGTCGCTGTTTGACGCAAAAGACAAAAGCACGGAGGACATATCGGTTCTAAAACTGCTTTTATTACATGTGGAGTAACATAACTGGATTTGATTACAAATTGTAGGACTACTCAGTTAAGCAAGAATGCAAGAATACAACAGCACAGCAAGCGAGAGCAGCTTCTCTCATATTTCTCCGGTAGCTCATCGGGGTCCGTGTGGAACAGCTTTTCATGAAACGCCGTCACACTGTCAGAAACTGAAGCAGCCACTGCGGATTGACACGAGCAGAAAATGAAAAGCCTGTTCAGGTCCGGGGTCAGTGCATAACTGAGCATGTTTGATACTCACAGAGTTGATCCCTCTGTCTTTCACCTCCTGGCTGGTCTCAGACTCATACAGAGCTGGGGGAAAAGGGGAGGAGATGACCGCATGTGATATATTTGCAGAGGCTCAACACTCGACTCATCAGAGCCAGATGGTTTTCACTGAGGTGGCCAAGTTGAGACCAAGTACTTACATCAGGGCATCTGGCACGATAGCTGATATCTTGTTTGTTCTTTTTGTTTTTAACTAATTCATTAATTTTTCTATTTATTAAAAATCTCTCTTATTTCATTATACAAGCATGATTGCCATGCGGAGGTACACTTTAAGTTAACTGGGATTTTCTTAATTGAACCATCACTTGATATATAAATAAAAAAGAAGATATTCTAATTTTACTGGACACTTCATCAGGTACACTTTACTTTTACCACGTTGGACCTCTACTTCCTTGACAACCCCTTTAATTTTTTTATGGCCCGAACTCAACAAGGTGCTATTTGTCGGCTGCACATACATGATGTGAATCTCCTGGGCCATCGCATCCCAAAGGCGCTCTATGATTTGAGCTTTATGACATGATGTGTTATCCTTCTAAAAGCAACCATCAGTAGAAAGAGAACGACCCTCTTTGAAGTGAGGGGGTGGCTTACAACACCAACTGTCTGCCATTTGTAATAGAGTTTTGACATCCCTTCCCAGACGCCTTAACGCCCACTCAAATCTCGGAGCATTTGTTCTGAGTTAGTCATGTAGTAAGGTGGAGCAAGGTCTCCCAGCGGGTTCACCCGAAACCTTGGCTGATTGTTACCCACACCCGTTTTCACACCTGGATTTGTGGGATTAGGCAGTGGAGCAATAGGCCAAAAATAATGGGTGAAAGCCAACAGCCTAAAAAGTGTGATCGCGATTGAAGAACGTGGCTCAGTGGCTCTGATATATAAGCCTGTCCATGTAGGCTACATATGTTAATGACAGGGTTTTAAGCTGAATTCTAAATTTCTCTGAGAACCAATAAGGAATAGATGTACAATGCAGGATGGATCCATACTTTCATGACGTTTACTCCAAACTGTGACCATACTATCTTAATGTTGCAGCAGAAATCAAGATGCATTAGGCCAGGCAACATTTTTCCAAACTTCTGTCTAGCCTTGTTGAGCCTGTGAGAATTGTAGCCTTAGTTTACAGAGGGGCTCTCAGTGTGGTAACAAGTGGTTATTTAAGTTACTGTCCTGTCATTTTGAAGCGATCTGTCCATTTTCATCTTACCTCTTATATCAACAAGGTATTTTCATGCAGGGAACTGCTGCTCACTGGATATTTTCCCTTTTTTGAACCATTCTCTGTAAACCCTAGAGGTGGTTTTTTTTTTTGGAAACTCTCAGTACATGAACGGTTTCTCAAATACACTACCAGCAAAAATCTTCCCCCATTCTGATGCTCAGTTTGGATTTCAGCAGGTCATCTTGACCGTGTCTACATGCCTGATTGCACTGAGTTGCATTAGTTGTGCACAATAACAGTAATGGATGTGCTAACATAGCACAGTAGAGTGCACATGGATGATAGATGCACACACAAGTGTGTGTTTGTGTGTGTTACCAAAAAGCTTGCGCAGCCTGGTGACACATGACAAAAAGCCGTGGAAGGGCATGTCCAGCTCTCCAGATGTGAACCGCTCAGACAGCAGCTCAACCACCTTGTTATCGCACTGGAATCCTGGAAAACAGGGAAGAGCGAAGGTGTAAACCCAAACTGTGTGTGTGTGTGTGTGTGTACATTTTTAGACATCTTTTTGAGGACAGAAATCTGGCATGTCACTATACTTGTGGTGACCACCAGTCACTTATGGGGACAAAATGCCCGTCCTCACAAGTTTGAAGGCATTTTTGAGGCTCAAAATGCAGTTTTAGTGTCAGGGTTACAATTAGGTTACGGTTAGGTTTAGTCTAAAGGTTAGGCATTCATTTTTGATGGATAGGGGCTAGGGTTAGAGTAAACAACTAGGGAAAGCCTAATGTCAATTAGATGTCCTCACTAAGATATGAAAATGAGTGTGTGTGTGTGTGTGTGTGTGTGTGTGTGTGTGTGTGTGTGTGTGTGTGTGTGTGTGTGTGTGCGCATACCAACAGCCTGCAGTGCTGAGCTGAGTTCAAAGCGGCTCATGCTTCCAGAAGAATCCTCATCAAACTGAGAAAAGATGGACTGAAAAACAGAGCAGCATCAGTAACACTGACATGACTCTCATCCGCACACACACACAGACACACACATGTGCGCACAGACTGAGCTGTACCTGCAGATTGCGCACACTGGCCAGCAGGGTTCCTGCTTGCTCACGGCTGAGAGCGCAGCGCCCTTTAGTCTGCCAGCAGAGTTTAAGGACATCTCAACAGGACAGAAGACAGAGAGATAAAGTTATAAGGAAGGAGTGCGATAGTGAACAGCAGGGTGAAACAATGACTCAGCTGCAGAAGTCAGCAAGCGTCTGCCCCGAGGAAGCGTGAAACCAGCAAAGGTCAGTCTGTTTTCTAACAGCTGCAGCTGTAACGTGAAGAACACGAGGACGTGCCTACAGCGCAGACGGTGTCAGCAAGGATCGCAGTGCACCGCAAGCAAAAAGACTGGTATGCGAGTGATGTTAAAGAATAAACTGAGGACAAAAGGATACATCCTCTCCAAAGATGAGCTCTCTGCACGTCTCCAAAGGCAGATGGTAATCTTTCTCAAGAACTGTGATTAGGGAAGAAAGGCACAGATTGATGGAGAGGGAGAAAACAAGGGTTTAAATTGGATCTAGCAGAGGAAAGGTGAAGGTGAGGACAAGTGTCGTCACTTTTCATTACTCAACTGAGTTCAATTTACTTCATCTGACTGTGTATGAGCCTCTGTCTAGACTGGCGACCTCTGTGGCTGCACTGTTCAAACCTATGAAGGAGCTGCTTTGCTCCCATCTGGTGGCCACTGTAGGTATTACACATAAATACAGACACTACTACAACTGACTTCTGGTAATGCAGTGGATGCTCTGACCTGAGTTGAACAGCTTCATGATGTCTTTGACGTTCAGCCTGTCATCCTGCACGCAAGACACAGTTGAGAAACAGTTTTTTTTTTTAAAAAAGCTTCAAAGCTTTCTTTACTTTGTGAGCCTGAAGTGTTTGAGTGCTATGATTCTTACTAGGCCAGCCTGCTTGTCAAAAGTCATCTCCACTCTCTCTTGATCCTTTGAGGAGACAGGAGCGGTCATCACCTGATAGAAAAACAAAACAAATATAAACATACTACAGCTTTTAGCACCTGTTAGCATCTAGTACTGTAGTGTGTACCGAAGAAGTCTGTGAACTCACTTGTGAGAAGCTGGAGGTGCAGGCAAAGTCTTGAGTCCTGGAACACAGAGGCCATGTCAGATTGTTGTACTTGTAAAAAATCTGGCTGACTCATTTGCACAAAAATAACTGCAGTAAAGCACTAAGATACTTTAGGCTACTTAAGTAGCACTAGCAATACTATAACAATCAGAGGTCCAGCAGTCTAATTTCTCCTTGGTCGAAAGCCAAAAAATGACTCACAATGCATAATGACTGCAAAGCGCCTGCACGCCTGTTATTATCTTATGTAACCTGATAGAAATATAGGTATTCCTGGACTTCGGGGTCTCTACTGTTAATACTCCTGCAGGAAACTTCATCAGTTTTTTTAACTGACTCATTTAAACTGAGCGTGTGCAGATTTAATTGCATAAACACACACCTGAACGCGTCAGCGTGGTTGCACAAGGCCTCTAATCTATGACCAGCAATCGTACTTTATTTTTTTTGAGCTGGCCTTTTGTTATGGGATAAAAAGTTTCCCCAAAACCTCTAACATCAGGCAGTGTACAAGAAAACAGTGCATTACTACAAGTACTTCACAGTTTAATTTACATCAGGCTAAAATAGCTTTTTTTTTCCACAGGGTATTGGTATGGTGCCAGCTTGTTTTATAAGCTGCTTGCAGTGTTTTATATTTAACATATAATTCAGCCTCTGATAGGTACAGGGAAGTGTGGGTGACTATGACTGTGCTGTTCAGTGTGAGTGTTGCGGCAGGTGATTCAGGCGTGCAGCTGAGCCCTCGGGAAGTGAGTTTATAATTTGACAGAATATCTATGATGAGTGCAGACGCAGGGAGACGCACACACAGCGGTAATAATTCACACATGCTATCAGAGGTAGTTTTTTTTTCTGTTTTCTGACATCAGACTATGCAGAAAGTTTTTCTTTATCCTTGCTTTGGAATCTTTTGGGGAATGAAAGCTAAATTTCCTCCATCTTACTCGAGAGTGTTTCCAATCTTGGAGAAAGTGCGGACGAAGAACTCTCCAGGGATGTTGGGTCGGTAGGTGGATACCACAATGACGTAAGTACCTGGATCCAGGCGCATCTTTCTCCACACACCTCTGCAGGACAAACAGCATGTTTACTGATTGTAACAAATAAGCTAAACGATTCTATGCACAAAACATGTCACACATACCCTGCTCAAAAACATTAAGTAAAACACAAAGTCAGATAAACTTCCCTGTTGGTCCCTTCTAGGAAGCATAAACCACTGTGAATGTATTTCACCTGCTTTGGAAATCACACAGCGTCTGTCGGAGAGGCAACAACAAGACCATCCCCTGTTCCTGTCACTGTACCTGCACCTGCTTCACATAGCTTCTCCAGAATGGCACATCCATATTTACTGTTTCTACCAGCACACTCACACAAGTATGGAGGAGATGAGGAGAGCTGGAAAGAACCATAGAACGACATCAAGGCAGCAGCAGTACCAGTATATACTCCTTTTTGTGAAGACAACCAGGAGCTCAACAAGATTATCCCCAGCAGGATGCCCACATCCTGACCAAACTGTCAGAAACAGACTTCATAAGTGTAGTTTCAGGGTCAGACCTCCTTTAACTCTTTCCCCCGATAAAGGCGGCATTTGACAACCTCCATTGTAGGCTTAATGACAAGTTTTGACACCTCAGTATATCATAAATGAAGATATGGTTTTCACCACAAGAGGTTTCAGGTTTTTCCAAGAGTCACCTGGCAGAGACCACCACACTCAGTCACTATGTTCTGGCCTGAATATTCATATTTCAAGCAGGCCTGAAATATGACAGAAGCCACTCAGCTCAGAAAAGAGCGTGATGGATTCCTCGTAGTAGTAGAGTGATCAGGACCGGATCAGGACCAGGACGGTCCCGATCAACTAGTCCAGGTAAGAGACACAAATCTGGAGTGGACATGACAAATATCAAAATGTGAAGAGGCAACGAGACCAGTGGTGCTCTCCGGTGAACTGGTCTGGAGCACAGGCATTCTGGTAGTGCTTCTGTTCCTCAATGCACCATCAAGCAGATACCAGTCCCGGGGCTGGTTGATGCCCATCTATGGACATGTCGGTCTCTCCTCATCGTTTGGTATTCCTCCACACTCTTGATGTGCCATCATTGAGTATCTGTGCAAGCTGAATGCGCTGCAGGTACTGTATCATGTTACCAGTCGTGACAAAGACACTAGCAAAAAGCAAACCTGGAGAAAATCACTCAGGAGGGATGAGGAGAGAGCAATGGTCATCACCTTCAAAGTAATTTTGAATGTTGTCCTGTTGCCTCTCCAGTGCATCTGCTGTCATTTTCATTTGCTCCAAAGCAGGTGAAAGGGAATGGTTTCTGTTTCCTGACTGGACAGACCGATCTCCCTTAAGTTTAACTAACTGTGTGTTACACTTTAATAATCGAGTCTTCCCTTAACGGTTTTGAGCATATGATACAGACTGTAGCTGCTCTGGCTGACTGATTTTCTGTTGTTGTTTTTTTTAAATCTCTTTTCTGTTCAAAGTTAGCAAGAACTCAGCAAAAGATGACAAAATTCTCTTACATAAAAATTGACTTCAGAGTTAGCTCAGGTATTACTCAAAATTACGACTAAAAGTGTCTCAAACATTCACCACAGCATAAGGATCTGCAGCTGTTGGGATCATCGTGTGAACGCGTAGCTCTCTTTGTGTTTGAAAGAGCAACATGCAGTCTCATCATAGTTTCATCTTATACCTTTGACCTTTGTACTTCCCAGAACGACACGCTGGGCGATTCTTCATAAAGAAGCTGCGGTCCAGACAAGTGTTCTGCAGTTATGTGAAAAAAAAAAAACAGTTACTGAGAAATGAAAATAGTTCTCATGTTAATTTGATTTTATATAAATTATTGATAATTGGTAGATATTCACCTCAGAAGGAACCTGGAAAAAACAAAGAATGAGTCACATGAGTGTGTCAAGAAAAAGAGTTAAGATGCTGAAACGTTAAAGCTGGATAAATATAGCACCTTATAGATGTGAAAGGCGATGTGCAGGAAGTTGAGTTTATCCCTCTGCCTTCGGTTTTTCTGCAGCAGCTCCACCAGCACCGTGCAACGTTTGACTTTCTGCTTCTGCTTCTCGGCTCTCTTCTTCGGATCTGGGGTCACAGTCGGATCTTCCATTTCATCATCGCCATCCTCGCCATCGTCCCCCACGTCGTCGTCATCGTCCTCATCCTCATTCTCGTCCTTCTCTTTGAGGACCAGCGTATACTGGGGATTTTTCCAGAATGTTTCTGGGGGGAAAAAGCAGAGACAGCAACATCTGGCAACAGAAAGGATCCCAGTAAAGCTTGAATGAACAGTGATCCAGATTTGAACCGTACTGTTATATTTGCGGCTACCGCCAGCAGAACTCCCCGGCAGCCAGCAGCCTTCGTGTTCGGTGATGGCCCAGCTGGCAGGTGTGCTTTCTTCATCATAAGAGTCTGGATTGACGCTGCAGAGCTCCACAACATCAAAGAGGTTGGAGAAGTCCTCGGCACTGATCCTAACAGAGACGGCTACTCGCATCAGAGCTCTTAAAGCCACAAGAGATTTATTCACTGGTTTAAGTTTTATGTTTCTTCTTCTTACCAGAACTCTCCGTCTTCAACGCATTTCACCTCGATCCTTTCCTTCTCTGTCGGGTCCACGTTCTCCCACTCTTTCCCCCTGCAGTCACGCACACGCAGAGACAAACTCGACATCCGTGGATGTTCTGTAAACTGCGAGTGGGTGTGCTCTCTTTGTGTAACATGCACACTCACTTGTCACTCCAGGGTCCGCAATATTCGATAAAACCCCAGGGGTTTCTCAGCCTCAGCAGCAAAATCTCATCTGATGGTTTTGTCAACTAAAATTTAAACAACAACAACAAAAAAGAAGCTTATAAAACACACATGAAGTCTTATTTTGAAAGGATAATTTTTCACTATGTTGTTATTTACATCAAGATTCGAGAAAAAGTCTTAAAATGTATAATTCCATGAAAAAAATGATCAGACTATGAAAGTGCTGTGTAAGATCTAGTCTGTTTACAAGAACAGATCATAGTAGACTGACAGACATTAAATTACAATAAAGTTGATTGTTCTGTAATCAGTCCCATTTGTTTGTCTGTCTGCTTGTTAGCAGTCTAGCATCCACAGTTTTCAAGATATCGTTTTTAAATTTTGTGTGATGGTAGATACCAATAACAGCTTGAGTTGATTTAATTTAGGTGAAAATCAATAAAAAATTTATATTACCCACAATTTTGGAGGATCGTCTTCAAACTTCGCAATATTCTAGGCCTTGAGGGACATGAATACCAAGGTTGGCTAAGCATTTGAGTTCGACCTTCACTGTTAGCACCCAAGATCAAAGTTGACCTTGAGAAAAATTTCAAGAAACCATATCGAGTAACATATCGTATGAAAGGACATGGAGAGAGCTGTACAACAACCTTTTTATGTTTTCAATACGACGCCCTGCGACGTCTCGGTGACGCCAGCATCAGCATGTTGTAATAAAAACATCATAAAACATTAAAGTTTTTGTTTAGCCCTTGGAGGTAGTTGCGCTCTCTGAGTGCTCTCGTTCACCTTGATCTGTTTTTTAATTTGACGCAAGATTAGACGACGGATTATGAGTCAATTACATTCCAAGATAGGATGAAATCCAGTCAAGTTACAATAAGGAGACATGAAATATAAATGAGATTACATTTATTGTCACAATAAATTTCATCAGCTTAGAATAAAATGATATAATGTGAGATAGCGTGAAAATTGTGCTCACTAATGAGACTCATCTTCGTGATACCTTGTCAGCGTCAGTTATGGCGTAGGCATGGCCCTTTATCAGCCCCTCTCCTGTCACCTTGCCGATATCTGAGGCGCTCTTGGCCTGTGAAGACAAACACAAGTTAACATCCACGTGCGTGAGTGTCAACATCTGGAGTTTGGGGCTGAGTGTACCTGGATGAAGCAGCTGAGCAGGCTCCCTCGCGACAGAGCAGCAGCCAAGGACCTCCAGAGGACTCGAGGGGTACGAGAAGAGATCTCCAGCGAGCGGGCGATGCCTCCAGTGAAGTCCTCCATCCCCTCTGAAATGTTGCCTCCCTTCAGGCTCCCGTAAGATCCGATTAACCTACATATGGGAGGTGAGAAAAGTGGCTATCTCTGTTAGCGACATAACACAGACAGAAAAGGAGTGGGTGATCTCAGACATTACAACCCAGAAACATATGCTGGTTGTGGAAACTGACTTGGCATAGGCCTTTTCCACCAGGGCGCTCCAAAACTCATTGCGGGTGCGAGAGTAGCTGAAGAGCAGACGGCCTTCGCGTACTGGCAGCCTGTCATCCACAACCACCTCCACCCACTCACCATACTGCCAGAACTGCACAGAGGGAGGGAGAGAGAGAGAGAGACGGCGACAGAAGAGGGAGACGTGAGAAGAGAGGAGGAGAGGATGTAATGAGTAAGGAGGAACTGTAATGAGGAGGAAAACTGAATGAGAACCTGAACATTAGAATCAACTGATTTCTTTTGGCCAGCTGGGGGCAGTAGAAACAAACTATTAGCGATGCACAACACCCCCACCTTTAGACTGCAGTTTGTCTGTGTCAGGCTGACCTCACTGAGTGAAAGGCTCCATACTACCGTATTCTGTCTCCATGTAATCTCTCATGTTGATGTGCGAGTCATTTTTTATTACACAGTGTTCTGAGATGGAAAACTAGTCTATGTAAATACTCTAGGCTTACCGTCCCTCTGTGTAAAACAACATGCATGCTCTGCACTTTTGTTTGACCTTTTTGCAACAGAAAACAAACCTCACAAAGAGAACTTGGCAAAGTTCAGATTTCCAAAGCAATTTGTGATCATATTCAGAAGATAAGTTAGCTTTGATACTTCTGGTGACGCATTAGACCCAGAGTATTTCTAGAGAAAGTCTGAATATTGGAAACTTTTTTTTTTTTTAATAATGAGAGATAAACTGACTTTTATTCTTCTGAGTTTAATTTCAGTTAGTTTGCAGAACAAAATAAAAATTGTTTCAGTTTGGTTTTATTGTTTTAAAAATGTTTAGCTTTAGCTTGGTTTTCGCTAGTCTTAGCATGTCTCCACAGTGTAGTTACCTGTTTGGCTAACTTGCAAATAGTCCTGTCCTGACACCACCCCAAATCCCTTTGGGGGATCAGTCTCATCTGGGTGGCTGTTTTGTCTAAATTTTAACTTATTAACCATATTGGTTAGTAATTCAGTTAGCTTTCAGTCTTATCTTAATTTGCATTTCAGGTAACTGAAATGCAAGCAGTGTGGTGGTACAGTGGTTAGTAGCACGGTTGTCTCACAGCAAATAGGTCATGGGTTTCAATCCACTGGCCAGAATTTGGGTGTTGTCCATGTCCCCTTGGTTATTCCAGTTTCCTCCCAGAGTCAAAAAATGTGCACGTTCGGTTAACTAGTGAAAAACTGTAGGCGTGAATATTTGTCTGCCTCTCTGTGGTAGCCTTGTGATATGTCGGTGGCCTGTTGAGGCCACCCTGCCGTTCACACATGTAAGATCTGCTCCCCACAATACCCTGAATTAGCAGGCTGAAGAAAATCGATGAATAACTGAAATGTTTCAGTTAGTAGTTTAGTTTTTGTCAGCTACCAGTCAGTTTACGTCCAAGTAACCCCGGGAGCCGAGCAGACTGCTTTAAACACAAAGGAGATGACCAAAGACCAGTGTAAGATTATTCTGAACTGTTGCAACGACTAAATTAACTCGTGCAACAAATTTAGGAAGACTCAGCGTACCTGAATCAATGACAGGTTCATAGAGAGAAGAAAAATATAATAATAATACAATATAATCTCTGTGAAAGCACACTGTCCCGCACAACATTACTTTTTTTTTTTTTTACAATGTTTCGATTAACGTGACCTTTGTCAGTTACAGAGAAAAATTAATGATTGATGATTAAATTAAGTAATGGAAAGCACTTTAAACTGGTGTGTTGTTGCCTGTAGATAAGATCGTCTTGTCTCAATTAATGCTATAATTTAATATTATGCCTTCAACAATCAGGGGACTTATCAGCTGTCCAGATATGAAGCTTCAAAAGGTTTATAAAGGAGAATTTAAAAACAACAGCTCTTCAGGTCGTTACTGGTCATGGCTCGAGGTGTGTACCATACTGTTAACGGTGTGTACACAACAGTAGCTGAAAGCAGGCTTACACTGGTCGTTCATGGCTGGTGTGTGTGTGTGTCCAGGTGTCCCGGGGGAGTCACTACCTGCATGTCTGAACTGCTCTCCAATTACTCTGACAGAGCAGAATCAGTTTCCAGTCCTTCCGTCCTGCTTGTTCAGTCACGCCACATTCTCCACGGCAGTCTCTAAAGGTCCAGAGCTTCGAGCCAAAACAATCACTTCCCGATGTGTCTGCTTTTGCAAGATTCACGTGTCTATGAAATTGGTATTTTATTGATCTGAGCAAGTTAGAGCCAGAGAATAAGTGTTGAACTCTCCAGCTAAGAATCACCAGTTCTAATGAGCTGATAAAGATTTGGGTTTATGTTTGTTTCCCTCAAGCTGGGAGGCCTTTGTGCAGAAATGACTCCAGGATGAGTTGATACGTGTCTTAGCTGCCTTCAATAAATACCAGAGCCGTGGCACAGCAGCTTACCAAAAAGACAACTCACAGAAAACATTTCAAAGGATAGAGCCAAATCAGATAAAATATAAATTAGTTCAGGCGATCTGTCCTTAAATTTAAGGGGCGTCTAAATATAATTATGTTTGTGGAGGCCTCACATTCATCAGAATAAATGGCTCTTCAAAGGCGCTCAAGCAGGACCAGACAAAAAGCTTTTAGTCTCGTGTTATGTTGTGCAAAACGATATGTGACCACAAACTTTGGCAAGAACAACCAGCAGATGAACTAGCTCGAGGGCCACAGACTGATGTGTTTTGTGTACATCTATGCTGAAATATGACCTAAGTTTTTGTGTGTAATGATTTAATAAAAAAAACTCGGGGAAACACTTTAATTGACACTTTTGGCTCCAGATTTGGCTGAATGCGTGATCGTGTCTTCAAATAAAGCAACTTGATACAGCGCTGGGCCTGCAAATCTGCAAATTTAAGTCAAATCTGTGCTGTCAACAACACAAGCTGTATGCAAAAACGGACGTACTCACTGTTGCCTAATGATTAGTTGAGTCCTGTCAGCTTTGAGCTGCTCGATTACCCTCATGCTGTTTTATGAACAGACATGAGAAACCTCTGCATGATTATACTAAAGTCCCCGGCCAACTTCGGGTCGGGGACAAGTTCCTGACAAGTGGAGGAGTTTAAGTATCTCGGGGTCTTTTTCACGAGTGACGGGAGAAGGGAACCAGAGATAGTAGATGGAGTCGTGCTGGTCCATTATGGTGAAGAGAGAGCTGAGCGTAAAAGCGATGCTCTCAATTTGCAGTCTACGTCCCGACCCTCACCTATGGTCACAAGCTGTGGGTAGTGACCAAAAAAACAAGATCGCAGATACAAGCACACAAATGTGCTTCCTCCAATGAGTGGCTGGCGTCTCCCTTAGAGATAGGCTGAGAAGTTCAGCCATCAGGTGGGGCTCAGAGTAGAGCCGCTGGTCCTCCACATTGCAAGAAGCCAGTTGAGGTGGTTTGAGCATCTAACAAGGATGCCTCCTGGGCGATTCCGGGTATGTCCCACCAGGAGTAGGCCCCCAGGCAAACCCAGGGCACGGTGTAGAGATTATATCTCTCGGCTGGCCTGGGAACGCCTTGGTGTTCCCCCGGACAAGCTGGAGGAGGTGGCTTTGAAGAAGGAGGTCTGGGTTTCTCTACTTAGGCTGCTGCCCCCATGACCCGGCCCCAGATAAGTGGAGATAAAGCATACTCTGTTCGATGAGTGTCCATAACTTACAAAATGAGCTTCACGTTGTATGAAATATGACTTAAAACTGCAGTAATCCACGTTCACCTGTACTCAGAGAAACTTTTCACCAGTCTGAGTCACGTCTTCAGTTCCCAGTACAAACACGTAATGACCAAAACCAGCAGCACTGACTAACAATGGCCCGTGAGGTTAGTTTCATGGTTGTTAATATGCAAATTTTCATGGCCGTTGTTTAACGCCTGTGAATACCACTCACAGAGAGTTCCTCTCTCCACTATGTGCACATCCTCACTGAAGGAGTGGCCACTGGCCTGCAGGTGTAAACAGACTGTTGAGTACTGACCTGATGGGGCAGCTCTTCTGTGCCCTGCCGGAGGTTGTTTGGCTTCCACAAAATATAATTCATAGCGATCGTCTTGGCATTTAATTGCAAAAATTATATTAGTCTGTTTGTTTTGAGCGACCTAATACTTGGGGTGGACCCGTTTTTGGCGTGGGGATTTGAGGTTTGAATGCCACAGAGACACAGTGTTTTGAAAAGATGCATCTCAGCTATTCTGATGCTCCTGACACATAAGGCATCACCAAAGGCTTTTGCTTAGGGAGCAGTGAGCTTTCTTCTTTGGGTGCTTTCACAGCGCTCACAAAAGTTCAGCCACAATAAACCAAATTTAATCGGGGTCTCTTTGACATGATGTTCTTCCTGCTGCTTCCCTGGTTGCTGTGTCTGTGGGGATGGTGTTCGCTCTGTGTTGTAACTTCCTGATGTAACGCCCAGTTTGTGCTCCAGTGGATGATGAGAGTCAAACCTTAAATCAGTATACGCTGGTTTACAGTCCACATCGACCTTAAAATGTCCCGCATTACTGATGGTAATTGCACAGACCAAGAAAGCTAGCCTTCCGTAATAGCATGGCAAATAGGCCTCCTTTGAATTGTCTGTGGGCAATTTGCATTGAGGATAATATAGATGCTGTTTTGGGGGAAAGAGTGAGCATTGTTTCTCATTAGTAAGAAAAAGAGTCTGGTCTTACCTTGAAATGGAAGATCCCTGCGTAACGGTCGCTCAGACTTTGGTTTGGTGGCACCACCTTCATAAAGAGCGAGGGGTGCGCGGTCAGGCAGGACAGGGCAGCCAGCAGCCAGCAGTTACCTGATAAACAGGAAGAAGAGTGTGACGAGTTTAAAGGTGATCACTTTTTATATTTATTAAGTATTTCAGAGGGTGGTGGTCTCCCGCATTCATGTTAGGTAGACTGGCAGCTCTCCATCACACACGTAATCAACCACATTCTTCTCCAGCAGCCAACATCTGTTCTGTGTTGCAGATGTTGCAGTAACCGTTAGCATCTGTGTAAATCATGGAAAAACACAGACTGAGATTTAGCTTAAAAGGAAACCCAAAACGTAGACATGGAGACAGAGGCAGGCGGAGGAGGAGGGGGAATTGATCTGTGCCAGTGACATGCTCGCACACATCCGACGACACAAATCATCAATGAAGAAATCCCAGAGGTGGAGGACGAGTTTGCTGTTTTGCAGAAAACAGCCGTATAATTCATCAAAATTGGAAACAGACTGAGAAACGCATATTTTAGCTGATGCTGCAGGCTAATAAAGCTGCAGCTCGATGGGGTAACGACCCCCAGCAGATTTAGGATTTGATGACCACAAAGAGACACGACTCTTTTCCCTCTGGCTGCACATTAGATGTTTTGGTCCCTCTGAGCCTGTTTGTCCCCGTTGTACAGCTACTTCAATCGCCTGTATCCATTTAACTGGGTGTTGTGCAATCCCAGTTTGAGACATTTCAACATGACTGGTTTCATCACTCAATCCCTGTGGATTGATAATAAACAGCTGGCAGATAAAAAGATTGTTCTTGTTCCAGATGTACTCACCAAGTTGGCCCTGACAGATATCAGTGGTTGCAGTCGTGTCCTCGACAAACACAGCATTCTTACTGATTTCCTACAGAAACAGAACAAAAAGAGCACAATTTACAAGCTCTGCTGTTATAACCATGAATGTTTTACCTCCTGCGATCCCCACGTCCTCTTTAAGAAGCCATTAAACTTTGACTTTCCTACACTAATTCTACCGGAGAGTTTCCGACTCTGTCATAAACTCATTGTGGCCATGACAGGACATTTTTCAGATGGTGCCTAGTTCTTATATTTGTTTTTTTGTGCTCAAATCTTAATTTCTGTGAGGAAGATGGTGGTGATATGTTTAGAACAACAAACAATATATAGAATAACTTCACTGATTGACCATTTAGGAACATTTTAATTGAAAACACCAAGTTATGTGACATTTTACAGAATCATTTATGTGGCCCTGTTTTACAAGGATTTCCCTGGAAAATATATATATTTTTAAATTACTTTTGAAGTCCAAACCTCTTTTTCTTTGTTCATGTACTTGGTTAGTTTGTGACTTGGTGTCAATATAAAACTAGATTAAGGATATGTGAATGGACATTGGGCTCTTTTCTTGATGATTTGTATAACCTTTTCCAGTTCTCCCTCACTTCGTTCTTTCTCAACTCCTTCTTCTCAAGGTTTTTCCACACCTGTGACACACCTGGTTAAATCTGTTTACACCCACATCAGCGCTGCTGAGAGCTCATGTGCAGAATGTGGGGGGAACATTTAGAAACACATACCTGAAAAACAGAGAAACTTTCTTTAACTCCAGAGTTTTTGTTTGAATCATGCTAAATAAGCCCACGAACACCTAAACCTCCGCAAAACCGTTGGCTCTTTATGCGCATGCACAACATGTCAGTGGTCAAACTTTCGCACCTTGGGTCTCTTCCATTGAATAGCCTTTTTAGGGTCCGGGTCTTCCGGTGTTCCGATGGACTTCTGCTCCGCTGGAAAGGTTGGATCAGAGAACAGCACGCCGGACTTCAGACACTCTGCCTGGAGAGTTTCAAAGTCCTGGTCCTTGAACTTGATCGGGTTCTCAGTGGAGCCCAGAGGAGCCTCGTTGTTGGTCGCCATCGTGTCAGTGGGTGCGCTGTCAGAAAAATGCTATCAGATGCTAAATGTGAGAGCTTAAATACAGTAAAAGAAAAAGCGCACACCCACCGGATCAGGCGAGGGCTGCTGGAGCGCCTCCCCGGCTCTGCCCAGCCTGGAAAGGTATGCGGGGCGCCCGGGGGACCTTCGATGCGGGAGTCGGAGTAATAACACGGTGCCAGGGGCGCCTTTGATCTCTGGAGTTTATTGTCCATCGTGCTGAGAGTGCAGACAGATGCGAAAAGGGATACGAAAAGCGGTCTGTGCAGGGACTCAGCAAGTGCCACAAAACTTCACTAAAAACTATGAAGAAACTTCAAATCTTTAAAAGTTTCTGTTTGCTTTTTGTAAAACATCCAGAACTGTGACTGCAGCACGTTTATGTTCGCGTGCGTGCAGGAAGCTTCTTTCCAGTGAGACCCAAAACACCAACAGGAATCATTTTAAACCTCTAATAAGGACGTTTGGATTTGCCAGCATGTTATTCATGCATGCCGAGAAAACCCCAGTCAGTTCTCCAACGCCAGCGCTAGGTGGCAGTGCACTCCAGTGGACGACACACCACAGATCACTGCGGGACTCATGGTGACAGCTGATTTACTCACTGAAAGCTCTCTAAACGCGATATATAAGAGGATTGGCAAATTGAAAGAAAACCCCTGATCTTTGACCTCTCGCAGTGAGAAGATCTGCAGCAGCTCTGAGCTGCTTCTTCTCATGATGAAACATTTCAGCTGTGATGGCAGTAGTGACTTCTTCCAGGATGAAAACCCAGCTGATCACTTTTGGGCCTGCGGGAGAGTTTATGCTGCGCTTTCATCATCAAATACCAAAAAATGTGAGAACATCCCCGTGGAAGAGTGATCCTCTGTGGAGATCAGGGTGAATGAAGAGAGAGCCCCTAAGCTGCTCTGGTGCCACATGCTGATTGATTTCTGTTGGCTTTTCCTTTAATTTGACACTGCTTTATATAGTGCACTGTACTGTTTTTATTTAAAACAACAAAACTAAAGGCGACATAAGGGAATAAAAGGCAATATTATAGTTCTTTCAACAGCCTGCACTTAAACATTTATGTCCATATTGTCTGTTTGTCTGTTCTGTTGTATGTGTAGACAAAGGAAAATAAAGCTGATTTTGATCCTGATTTATATAAAGTGTAAAAACTCCCTGTCAATTAAAGACTTCATGCATTGATGCAAACACATAAAAAAGACAGACTTGTTACTCCATTCATCTGGAGGATGTGCTCCAGGAGGGATCAAGGAAGCAAACAAACCACTGAACTAAAGTGATGTTTCTCCTGTTTCTAGAACATAAATATGAGACATTTCCATGTATAATCACATGTTTGCCTTTTATCTGCACAAATCTTCCTTTAGAGGAACTTTTATGACACTGAAACTGAGGTGGAACAAAAATAATCCAGCCTGCTTCACAGAAAATTGAATTGAAATCCTGACCTAAATGTCTTGAGATGCTGCCTCACCCATATGGACCCTTTTAAGCGGTATCCGGACAGGGGTGCTTTGGTTTGGCCTCCCTTTTTGTGATATGGCCTCTGAATCTGAAGTGGACATCCAATTACACCTCCTACACCCCCACCCTCCCCGAGCCCTCTGCTGTCATTCAGCGAGTTTAGGTGAATATCCACCTCCAGGAAGCTGTTGAAGCGTCTCCAGCAGTCCTTCCATCACACGCCTGATTACACCGAAAGCGAGAGACTGACCGGGACTAAACAAACAAGAAGAATAGCGACACGTATCTGCCTAATGGTCACCATTTAACTTCATTCATGGGCTCTCCATTATGTCCGCGCGGTCTTTGAGGACAGGATTATAGGAAGCCTCGGTGACAAAGGTCAGAGGGCCGACCGACACTCCCACACCTCCTTGACCCGCTCTGATCCCACGACCCCGGCACTAGCAACCCCCTGACCCGTCTCACCCTGCGCGCTGGTTAACCGGCTTTGTCCCGGCCTGTTTTCTGCTGCATCACTCACACACATCACAGCAAGCTGAAGCGGTCAGAGAGGGGACCTTAATATGCCTCAATAAGACTTGAGCCAAAGGACGTCAGTGACACACGAAGAAAAACAACCGATGGGAGTTTCTTGTAGACACAATCTGAAGTTTTGTTCTTTATTAAAAATACAACTAATTCGCCTTTCATGTCGTTTTGACTCTTCCTGGATTCCTTATCTTATTTTTATTGTGATACAGTTCTTTAATTGTGGTCTGTATTCAACTACTTTTTACATTTTTATAAATTAGTTGTTTTATTTCTGTAGTTTGTGTCCTTCTTTTCAAAGATTATCTCTTTTTTTTATTGTAATTTTGTACATTTTTAACATCATGTTATATATTATTCTTAATATGCTTCTTAATTGTAGTTCTCTTGTACTCATATTATAATAGTTTTCTCTCCAGTGTAAAATATTTTTGATTTTCATAAGTTTTTAATTTACTCAGTGACTCATTTTAATTCACTTCAGTACTTCTGAAATACTTTATATTTCAGAATTATGATGTATTTATTCATTTGACACCTTCAGGCACTGTTTTATCTTTATACAAAGTCTATGGCCAGTTTCTAAAATCTGATCAAATGATGTGAATGAAAGGTTCTTGAAGAGGTCAAGGGGTGTTTAAAATAGGATTTGGACCAATAGGAACTCTGATATGATGATGACACATCACTAATTTCTCTCCGGTGCAGTAATATGTTTACTTCAGTAAGCTGGTGAGACTGTAGCAATATTTGAGTGACTATCTTCCAGTGACCTTAAGCCCAAGGATCTAAATCTCTGTTGGGATCCTTGGAAAGACGTCTCCTCTCTTCTCGAAGTCATAAAGTTTGAGTTTGCTTG